TGAGCTCTTCTTCGGAGAATCCCCCAACTTTTTCTTGTCATCACCAGCAATCAATCCCATGGCAATGGTGCTGGTAATGAAAAGTTGACAGATTGCACATTTGATTTGCTCGTGTCTCTCAAAAGATGAAGCCTCTGTCAATCCTATCATTCTCTTGATCCCAAGAACTTTACGCGCTAATTCTGCTAGTTCCCATCTTTTATATTTGGAATCTTTGAGAATTTTGGCAGCAAGATAACCAACATCTACTTTGCTTTTAGTCAATCCCAATTCTTCAAATGGGAACAAATCTTTCTTCTCAGGAATTCCAAAGCCCACAAAATGAATTCTCTCATCGGTCAGAAATTTGCGGATTGGAGCAGGCAATGGTTCCCCAGTGTGAAACCTGAGGATCACACAACCAACACCAAAACACAATAGCATCAGCAGAATGAATGGATCGCGTGGGTGAGGCATAACATTGAGGCCAACTACAGGCGGACTAGCCCAAATCTTTCCATCTGGGAAGAGAAAATCCATCATGCACAGAGATTCAAAATCCTTCGTTTTGAAGGTTATGCCTTCAAGTTTAACCTCAAAGCAATTGGTTCTCAAGTACACAGTCCCTGCCATGCTGAAACGCTGATGAATCTTTGTTCTTTTGGGATATTAACGCTGATATATGTCGAAAAATATACAATCAAAACATAAACAAATGTGAAATCTCAGAACGGAACAAGGTGGTTGTTCCAACATCAATCGAACAACTCTTTTGTTAAGACACTAAATCTGAACCAAATTTGCAGGTAAAAATGCGTTGATCCTGATTCTGGCACAAGGCAAAAGCATTTCTTACTGGAATGAATGCTATACAACTGCAAACGGAGGAAAAGCAGCGAAACTAATGGTTCTTCAAGGTTGAACACCGAATTATTTGTATGACAACAATAGATAGCCGCCATTAGTCTCCCCCAATATTTAAAGCCACAGATTTCTAACTGATTGTTGACAATTCAACTAAATTAGTGCTGCTCCACAAATTAAGATGTTTAAGATAAGTTTTTGACTCCATTAAACAAGGGAAATATCCTTGATTTTCTCAAGAATCCACAACAATTTTAGCGGTCGTAAGATAGAATCAGCAGTTTATCAATTTCATATTTCAAAAATTCCAACTAAGAAAAAAATTATTGGAACGATTCACTGCTTCAAATGTTCATTTGATTATCCTATCCCATAGAAATGAAACAAAAAAACAAAAGCACTTTATTATGCAGCACGGAGCAACTACACATAGCCGAATCTTTGGAGAGAAAAACTCCATCCTTTATTTTAAGAATAAATTCTTTCATTTTTACTTTCTCGAATCACACACACTATTCATTTTTCCGACCACCTAATTTAGTGTATATTTATATCCACGTCACAATTTTCACAACTCAATCGATGAGGAAGAGATAACCTCCATTGAGAATGAGACATATGCCATCCAATTTTTAAATATTCGTCACAATTTTAAATGAAAATGAATTCTTAAAGACAAACCTGTCAAATCATATAGGAGTATAAAACAATGGTTATCGTAAATATAATTTTTTTACGAATAGAGACATAGGCAGATGTATTAGATGTTTCAAATAAAAAAATACACAAATAATTAGGGAATTACAAAAAGAAAATCACAAAGTCTATCATGTGATTTTCATAGTCACATGGACATTTGTATTAGAAGTCACACACCATACATCAAATCATTAACCATATTTTTTTTGAGAGATATTGTATATACATATTTGTTTACACTCTTGTTTACATAATGTTGTGTTGGCAATTTGTCATTGGTTGTTGCACACAAAAAAGTCACCAGCCAATGAAAAATTGCCAACTACGTAAACAAGGGTGTAAACAAAAGTGTACAAGTAACTTTACACATTTTTTTATGGATTGTGTTACATGTACATAACAATTTACATAATTGTTTACTAACAGATAATGTAACGAGATTTCATTTGATCAAAATTTCAGCAATCAAATAACTACCACACCTACATTTTAATACCTCATCGTTATGTACAATAAGCATTTTTTTGATATGGATGAGAACAAAAGAATATAAATAAACAATTTTAATCTGACCGTAATCTAATTTTTTTTCATGTACACAGATGGTTGCATAGATGAGTATAGAGAAAATAATTTATCTGATTATCGAGATTTATATCGGCCAATTTCGGTCGCATACCTTGTATAAATTCATCATTATTATTTTTTTAAAATATGAATTATGACTTAATTTTTGTAAACTCCCACAAAATTTGATATTTGTGAGAGATTCAAATGATGGTAGTTCCAAGTTTACATTAAATAAAAGAAATAATTTTAAATCGACCCATTGGGCCTTTTCATAACGAGAGATATAATAATTTTTTGAAGAATATATGGTTAAGAAAGTAGATTTTTTTTTTGAATTTACGTATAATATTATTTTATTGAAGAATGTGAGATGAATAAAAAAAAGAGAAAAATGAATTCTAATTTAATGGAAAATAATGGGGATAAACGGGTCTTAGTGTGTCATATCATAAAATCACTATGCATCTTTTAATTGCCAAGGAAATGCATTTCTTCACGTGAAGAAAGTGAAGCTTTTATTTAAAACTTCTAGCTTATGCTATCTATTTTTTAATCTACAGTAAAAAGTAAAGTAGCCTGCTAGCCATGTTGAATGGATAACTACTGTACGTTAGGTTCGACCTTGTGTACTTTTCCATTTTTATGTAAAGAGAAGTCTATGTAGTATGCATTATTTTTTGAAGAAAATAAATGAACTGAGATTTCTCTTTCTCTATAGCTTTTTTTTTTTTTTATCTATCTATTCTTTTTTGCACTTTTTTTGGTTCCAAAAAGTCCATCACTGTTTTTTCCTCTGTTCTTGAAGTCATTGTGCAGATTTTCTGAGCTCTTTCATAAAAAAGAAAGAAGTTAAAATGTGGTATCTGAGCTTCCGTTGATCTTAAGGCCTGTTAGAGAAGATAAAAATGGCAGGAACAAGTTTTTCTTCACTTCCAGTACCAGTAGTGTTTACTAGAGAAAATTATGACTTTTGATATGTCAAAATGAAGGTTTTCTTGATGGCACACGATCTGTGGGAAGTGAATGAGCACCATCTGAATCTGATGTGAACTACACAGTAGCACAACTGAGAAATACAAGGATCAATCCATGAAAAATATGAAAGCACTTTTTTTCTTATTTACAGTAGTGCCAGAAGAAATTATTCTCAAAATTGTTGTTGTGTCTACAATCAAAGAAGCTTGGGATAAGCTTAAGAAGAGTTCAAAAGCTCTAAAAAGGTAAGGGCTGTAAGGTTACAAGCCTTGAGCAGAGATTTTGAAAATCTCAAAATGAAAAGAAGCAGTATGATGGAAAAAAGAGGAGATAAAGTAGCAATAGCAAACAATGAAAGATCAAAGAAAGTAGAGATACATATCCTCCTTGTGGTGTTTGTAACAAAACAAAATATTTGGAAAAGAATTGTTGGAAATCCAAACAGTGTAGATAATGTAAAAAATTTGGTCACGTGGAAAAGTTTTGTAGAGCTAAATTACAAAATCGAACCTCAACACAATATCAGTCAAGATCTCAAAATCAGCAAACTTCACTTGCTCATGAAAAGAAAGAAGGTCACTTGTTTCTTGCATTTCATGTTTCAGATATAGTAGAAAAAGAATCTTGGTTTATTGATAGTGCTTGTACAAACCATATGACCAGCAATGATGAGATCTTTTGCAATTTCAATCCTAATTGTAAAGTACCAATCAGAATGGGAAATTGAGAAGCTGTTTCAGCAAAAGGAATGTAAACCATTGCCGTCCAAACAAAGAAATGAATAATGTACATTAATGATGTTTTTTACTTGTACCTAATTTAAGTTCAAATTTATTGAGTGTGGGTCAAATGGTTCAAAATGGTTATTTACTGAAATTTAAAGATCATTTGTGCAAAATATATGATTCACATGATGTTGAAATAACATGTGCGCCTATGAAGAACAAAAGATTCAGTCTTTATTGGCAAAATGTTATTGCAAATGCTTCAGAAGTTAATTTTGATTAGTCAAATTTGTGGCACAAGAGATATGATCATTTTAATTATAAATCCTTAGCCTATCTACATTCACATGGTATGGTAAGAGATTTGCCTAAAATTCAAGAGTCGGGAGGAGTATATGAAAGTTATAATTTGGCAAAATGCATAGAGTCATTTCCAACAAAAGGTGCATGGAGAGCAAGACAAAAACTTCAACTTGTGCTTACCGATATTTGCGGTCCATTGAGTCAAAATTTGTATTTTGTGCTTTTCATTGGTGATTTTACCTGAATGTGTTGGGAATATTTTATGAGAAATAAATTAAATGTGGTTCATGTTTTTAAGAAATCCAAAGCTCTTGTAGAAGCACAATTAGATTGCAAAATTCAAGTATTGAGATAAGGTATTGCCAAGGAGCACACTTCAACAAAGTTTGATCAGTTTGTGAAGAAATAGAGTACACTCCACAACAAAATGGAGTGTCTGAGAGGAAAAATAGGTCAGTCATTGAGATGGCTAGGCGCATGCTAGCTGAGAAAGGGCAACTAAAAAGGTTTTGGGCTGAAGCAGTCTATACTTCAGTTTATCAATAAAATAGATTCTCAGGTAAGGCTGTGAAAGATATGACTCCAATTGAAGCATGGAGTGGAATGAAACCCACAACAAAACATCTCAAAGTGTTTGGATCATTGGGCTATATTCATATTCCTAATCAAAAGAGGAGTAAGCTAGATAACAAATCAATAAATGGAATCTTTCTGGATTATAGTTCTCAATCAAAGGGCTATAGAGTGTACAATTTAGAAAATGGAAAAATTTCAGTTTCTAGAGATGTTAAAGTTGATGAAAATGATAAATGAAATTGGGAGGAAGCCAAGCCACAACAACAATTTGTTCATTTTCCAATTATGCAGTAGGACACTCCTATTACAGTTCCTGAAATTCAGCCACCTTTGGTAGAGTTTAGCTCGTTGAATGATGGTTTATTTGAATCTTTCTCTAGCTCAAGAAGTGGTGTTAATTACTTTGAAACCTTTGCTCCAGTTGCAAAACATGACACAATCAAAACTCCAAAATATTCCATTGCAATGAACAAAACTCCAAAATATTCTCCACTTGGAGAAGAAAATCCTTCCGCAAGGAATAAACTGACTCTTCAATAATAACCAAAACTGATTTTTCCAACCAAACACAAAATACTACACATCTTCCAATAAATCCAAAGACTACTCTGCAGAATTACCCAAAATTCCCAAAAAGTCATAATGATTTTAAAATTTACCAAACTGGGCTGTAACACACCCAAAGTAGAATTAAATCCAAATGTTTTTAAAGAAGGCCCACTGCTAGATCGTACATCTTCTACAACGTTGAAAGTATGCTCAACAAAATCAACATCCACATACCTTTTATCACTAGTTTCGTCCCTAACAATTGAATACAATGTCACTGCAGGTGATGGTGACAATGCGGCATTATCCATATCTCCTAAACTCCACTGAGCAGTATTCTTTAAATCCGACCCTTTACGAGCTCCTAAATGT